GAAAGAGAGCAATAAGAAAAGCCCTGCATAAGCAAAAGGGGGGAAAATATAAAGGATCAGAAAAGAGATAAATGACAAAGAGACCAAATATACACACACACACACACACACACACACACACACAAAAGATCAACAAAACCAAGAGCTGGTTCTTTGAAATGATAAAAAAGATTGATGAACCTCTAGCCAGGCTCACCAAGAACCAAAAAGAGAGGGCCCAAATAAACAAAATCAGAAATGAAAAGAGTGAAGTAACAACCAATCCCACAGAAATATAAATGATTATGAAAAAAATACTATGAACAACTTTATTTCAACAAATGGACAAACTATATGAAATGGACATATTCCTAGAAAAATACAAGCTCCCAAAACTCAACCAAGAAGAATCTAAAAACCTGAATAGGCCAATAATGCCAAAGAAAATGAAACAGCAATCAAAAATCTTCCCGCAAACAAAGGCCCTGGTCTGGATGGCTTTACAGAGGATTTCTACCAAGTATTCAAAGAAGAACTAAAATCTATTCTTCAGAATATTCCAATAAATTCAAGAACACTTCCAAGTTCTTTCTATGATACCAGCATTACCTTAATCCAAAAAAAGACACCACAAAAAAGAGAACTACAGGCCAATATCCTTGATGAACATAGATTCTAAAATTCTAAACAGAATTCTAGCAAATCGAATTCAGCAATGCATTAGAAAGATCTTACACCATGACCAAGTGGGATTTATTCCAGGGATGCAGGAATGGTACAATATATGAAAATCAACAAATGTGATACATCACATAAACAAACTAAGACACAAAAATCACAAAATCATATCAATTGATGTGGGGAAAGCATTTGACAAAATCCAACATCCTTTCTTGATAAAAACTCAGCAAAGTGGGAAGAGAGGTATCATACCTCAACATAATAAAAGCCCTATCTGATAAACCCACAGCCAACATCATGCTCAATGGACAAACTAAACTAATTTCCCCTAAGAACAGGAATGAGACAAGGATGCCCACGTTCACCACTCCTGTTCAACATAGTACTAGATGTATTAGCCATAGTAATCAGAGGAGAAGAAATAAAAGGCATCCAAATTAGAAAAGAAGTAAAACTGTCCTTATTCGCAGATGTCATGCTATTATACATAGAAAACCCCAAAGACTCCATCTAAAAACTACTAGACCCAATAAATGAATTTGGCAATGTAGCAGGATATAAAATTAACACCCAGAAATATATGGCCTTTTTATACAGCAATAATGAACTCATAGAAAGAGAAATGAAAAAAAAAAAAAAATTAGCCATTGCACCAAAAAATTAAGATACCTAGGAATAAACTTAACTAAGGAGGTAAAACAACTATACTTGGAAAACTACAGGACACCAAAAGAAGAGATAGAGGAAGACACAGACAAATGGAAGAACATACCATGTTCATGGATTAGTAAAATCAACATCATTAAAATGTCCATACTACCCAAAGCAATCTATAGATTTAATGAAATACCTATTAAAATACCAATGGCATATTTCAAAAATCTAGAACAAACTCTCCAAAAATTCATCTGTAATAAAAAAAAAAGACCCTGAATAGCCACAGTTATCATGAGAAAGAAGAACAAAGTTGGAGAGATCATAACACCAGACATCAAGCTATATTATCAAAACTGCCTGTTACTGACACAAGAACAGACATATAGATCAATGGAATAAAAAAGAGAACCCAGAAATCGATCCAAACCACTATGCTCAATTAATATTTGACAAAAGAGGTAAGAGCATACAATGGAGTCAAAACAGTCTCTTTAATAAATGGTGTTGGGAAATTTGGTCAGATGCATGCAAAAAAAAATGAAACTAGATAAAAAACTTACAACATACCCAAAAACAAACTCAAAATGGCTAAAGTTCTTCAATGTAAAATGAGAAACCATAAACATCTTGGAAGAATCCACAGGCAACAAAATTTCAAACATAAGTTGTAGCAATATCTTTACAGACACAGATCCTAGGGCAAGAGAGACTAAAAAGAAAATAAACAAATGGGACTGTATCAAAATAAAAAGCTTCTGCAAACCAAAAGAAACCATCAATAATACAAGAAAGCCCACTGCATGGGAGAACATATTTGCCAATGTTATCTCCCATAAGGGTTTAATCTCCAACATTTACAGGGAACTCATACAACTTAACAAAAGGAAGACAAACAATCCAATCAAAATATGGGCAAAGGATCTAAATAGATACTTTCAAAAGAGGACATTCAGAAATCCAAAAGACATATGAAAACATTTTCAAATTAATTAATGATCCAAGAGTTGCAAATCAAAACAACAACGAGGTACCACCTCACATCTGTCAGAATGGCTATCATCAACAAATCAACAAATGACAAGTGCTGGAGAGGATGTGGAGAAAAAGAAACCCTTGTACACTGCTTGTGGGAATGCCGGCTGGGGCAGCCACTGTGGAGAACAGTATGGAGTTTCCTCAAAAAACTAAAAATGGAACTCCCATTTGACCCAGTGATCTCACTTCTAGGAATATATCCTAAGAAAACAGGAACACCAATCATAAAGGATATATGCACCCTTATGTTCATAGCAGCACAACTTATAATAGATAAAATTTGGAAACAACCTAAGTTACCATCAACAGATGAGTGGATTACAATACTATGGTACATCTACACAATGAAATATTATGCTGCTATAAAAAAGAAGGAATTCTTACCATTTTCAATAGCATGGATGGAATTGGAGAGCATTATGCTAAGTAAAATAAGCCAGTCAGTGAAAGAAAAATACCACATGATCTCACTCATTTATGGATAATAATGAACATTATAACCTGATGAACAAAAAGATAGATACAGAGGCAGAGAAGCATTGAACAGACTGTCAAAGTACAGCAGGAAGGCTGGGGAGTGGGGGAGGAGGTAAGAGATCAACCAAAGTCCTTGTATGCATGCATATAAGCATAACCAATGGACACAAGACACTGGAGAGGTGCATGAGGGCATGGGCCAGTGGGTAGCGGAAGCCAGGGGAAAGTAAAGGGGGGGAAAGAAGACATATGTACTACTGTTTGTAATACTTTAAACAATAATCCTAATATACAAAAACCCTGGGTCTGTCACATCCCCAATGACCATTAAGCTTGGCCAACCAAAAGTCAGTCCTGCAGTCAGCGCTGGGTTGTCATAGTGACCCAGCACTGATTGCTACTGCTGCAGGCATATTGCCCAGCACTGAGGGGGCAGCGAATCAGGCCCAGGGAGAGGATTGAAGAGAGAAGCAGGTTCTGTTCTGTAGCCTCAATGCAGCTGTTGATCAGCACTTGCCTCTCTCTTTCTTTCCAGGCCTGGCCAGTAGCTGAGCCTCCATTTCTCTCCAGGCCTCCACCAGGGCTGCTGATCAACCTCAACTTTCTGGCAAGGTCCCATTGATAGGCCCAGAGAGGCTGACTGGCATAGAAACCAACCAATCAGAATTAAATTGGTCAGCAGGGGAGGGCAGTTGGGGGCAAGATCAGGCCAGCAGAGGAGGGCAGTTGGGGGTGACCAGCCAGCAGGGGAAGACAATTGGGGACCATTATGCCAGCAGGGGAGAACAGTTGGGGAGATCAGGCTGGCAGGGGAGTGCAGTTGGGGGCGAGATCAGGCCAGCAGGGGAGGGCAGTTGGGAGCAATCGGGCTGGCAGAGGAGCAGTTAGGTGTTAATCAGGCCAGCAGAGAAGTGGTTAGTGAGTGATCAAGCTGGCAGGCAGAAGCAGTTATGGACAATCAGGCAGGCAGGCAGGTGAGTGGTTAGGAGCCAACATTCCCGGATTGTGAGAGGGATATCCCAGATTGGAGAGGGTACAGTCTGGGCTGAGGGACACCTCTTCCCCTCCCCACAGTGCATGGATTTTGTGCACTGAACCTCTAGTAAAAAAATAAATTAATAAATATGAGAATGAACTAAAAAAAAAAAAAAAAAAAAAAAAAAACCTTAGGAAAAGAGCTTACATATCTCTTGCCTTGCTTCACCATCCTTCAACACTGAAAAGACACTGTATTGAGTGTCTCTTCTATAATTTGCAAAGAAGGATGCAGCAAACTGAGTTCCATTAAGGAGAAAGTCTATGAGTAGCATTGGCCTCCTAGCAATTGCCACGTAAGTGTAAATCAGATTAAAAGGGTAAAGACCATTCTAGAGAGATCAATAAGATTGCTTTGAAAGCAATTCTGAATATTTTTTAACATTCTGGCCACTCTTTAATTTTATTCTCAAACCACCATTCATTCTGAGACCTAGTTGATCTGCGTCACTGGAAAGTGTGATGTCTTACAGAAGAATCTGCTTGCTTAAGGTGCTAAAACATGAAGTGTATGGAGAACACCAAAAAGATTAAAGTTGTTTAACTTTAGGAAGAATAAATTGAAAAGATTTAATACAGTTTGCAAACAATTGAGTTTTTAATTCTGCACAAAGTAAAGTTAGTCTCCTCTTTAAGGAAAATAGGTTTGTGCTGTTAACAGAATAGATTTAATTTAGGTGTAAGGAAAGCCTTGCTAATGCTGAAGGTTATAGCATATAAGAAAGATTATCAAGGAAAGGGATGAATATCTACTGAAGAATCTTGAGGTTGATTTTCAGACCCTGATCCCCCACATTGGGAAAACTTAGATCAGTACTGTATCATAGAAATAGAAGGTTATCCTCACTTTAAATGTTCTAATAGTCACCTTTTTTAAAAAGTTAAAACAAATAGGTAGAATGAATTTATAACATATTTTACTTAACCAAATATGTCTAAAATATTATTTCAACATGTAATAAATAATTCACAATTATTAATTTAATGTTCCACTTTTTTTTTCCATGCTAAGTCTGTGTGCATTTTTATATCTCAGTTCTCACTGGTCACATTTACAATATGATAATCCTATGTATAAGAGCAGATCTGTTCAGAAAATGCCATGATTATAATCTGCCTGTGTGTTTCTTTTTCAGAAGAGGACAAAAGAGAAGTTGGTGCACGTCCTTTCTCTATGTGGCCAAGAAGTAGGATTGAGCAAAAATCCATCAGTAAGTTCTAGCACATATCACATGTGTTTTGGTATCATCTCCTTTTTACTTTGGTCTGTTTTTACCTTTTGTCAAAACAAGTTTAGACTATTTACCTATGAATTACAAGTATAATATCCACCATCTATTTCTCTCTATTGTATGGTTTTTAGTCTCACCTTAATTCAGAAACAATGAAAGATTTTGTTGGCTATTTGCTCCAGGTTGTCTGTGAATAAATACTCAGTTTTTGTTTTTGTTTCCAATTTTTAAAATCTCTTAATTTTTTAAATAAAAATGCTCAGTTTCCTGAAAATATGTTTGTGACTACTGCATCACCAAGCATGATACACATTCCTTTTGGATATAATTTTATTCTGTACACACAAGTCTTACTGTGATGTCATTGTTTTATTCACAATAAAGGTGAAAATAATGATATGTTATCATGTTTTTTCCTCATATAAATTTCCACTGATGTTACAGTTTTTTAAAGCCATACCATCAGGTTTTGGAATATATGAATAATTAAAGTATTAGATATTAGCTTCTGAGGCCCAAAATTCAGAAAATTCAAATTGTGTATGTGAGTCTGTTGTAGCAAAAGCAATAAAAATCTAGGGTCTGACTTCACCAGGTATTTTTTTGACTGTCTGGCAATGTGCCCTAGCTAGTTATTAGCTCAGCTTGACCTCCATTGAAGTCACCATTTTAGTGTTAGTGATCAATGGGTTTGTTGTTACCCCTGTGACTTTATTTAGAGTAGAGGGAACAAGATAACAGCGGCTAGAGCAGGTGGAGCCTCCAAGCTCACCAGGGAGAGAAACAGGAGCAATTTGCCTTTGTACTGCAGCCCTGCCAGCCAGGGCCATTTCTTACTCCCCTGGCCAGTGGTACTTCCTCCTTCAGATCTGAACCCCTTGTGTCTGTGCTGAGGCCTTTCTGGCTGGAAATATTTACCTGGAGGATGTTACAAGTAAGAGCAGCAGCACAAATGAGGAAGCCAGATTCTCATCTTCTCTCTCACTAAGCAGTTGACTGGCCCTCTGTGCTTCTGTCTTACATATCCATGTGTAATACCTGCACAAACTGTGTCAGGTACACACATGAGAAATAATGATGGTTCTGAAATACTGGAGAAAAAGTACCTATAAATCTCCTCATTCTTTTACTTTTGATAGATATTTGTGTACTTAAATTCTTCTAAATGATTGCCTACTTTTCAAGGATGACTGGATGTTGTAATGAAATGGTTAAATAAGAATCCTCTTCACTTTATTTAATATCAATCTGTATTCAGGAAAGGCTGTAACATCAGTTTATGTTGTTCATTATTTTCCATAAATGAGTGAGATCATGTGATATTCATCTTTCTCTGACTGGCTTATTTCACTTAGCGTAATGCTCTCGTTCCATCCATGCTGTTTCAAATGGTAAGAATTTCTTCTTTTTACCACAGCATAGTATTTTATTGTGTAGATGTACCATAGTATTTTAATCCACTCATCTGCTGATGGGCACTTAGGCAACTTCTAAATCTTATCTATTGTAAATTGTGCTGCTATGAACATAAGGGTGCACATATCCTTTATGATTGGTGTTTCTGTTTTCTTAAGATATATTCCTAGAAGTGGGATCACTGGGTCAAATGGGAGTTCCACTTTTAGCTTTTTGAGGATGCCTTTTATTTCTTCTCCTTGTCTTATTGCAATGGCTAGTACTTCTAGTACTATGTCAAACAAAAGTGGTGAGAGTGAGCATCCCTGTCTTGCTGTTCTCCACAGTGGCTGCCCCAGCCTGCATTCCCACCAGCAGTGCAAGAGGGTTCCTTTTTCTCCGCATCCTCGCTAGCACTTGTCGTTTGCTGATTTGTTGATGATATCCATTCTGACAGGTGTGAGATGGTATCACATTATCATTTTGATCTGCATCGCTCAGATGATTAGTGACTTTGAGCATGTTTTTATATGTCTCTTGGCCTTTTGAAAAGTATCTATTTAGGTCCATTGACTGTTTTGTTGTTGTTTTTTATTGGGTTGTTGATCTTCCTTTTGTTAAGTTTTTTGAGCTCCCTGTAAATTTTAAAGATTAAACCCTTATCGGTGATTACACTGACAAATATGTTCTTCTATGCAGTGGGCCTTCTTTTGTTTTATTGATGGTTTATTTTACTGTGCAAAGGCTTTTTATTTTTATGTAGTTCCATTTGTTTATTTTCTCCTTAGCTTCCATTGCCCTAAGAGCTGTATCAGTAAAGAAATAGCTTTGGTATATGTCTAAGATTTTGCTGCCTGTGGATTCCTCTAAGATGTTTATGGTTTCCCATTGTATGTTTAAGTCCTTTATCTATTTTGAGTTTATTTTTGTGTATGGTGTAAGTTGGTGATCTAGTTTCATTTTTTTGCACGTATCTGTCTGATTTTCCCAACACCATTTATTGAAGAGACTGTCTTGACTCCATTGTATGTTCATGCCTCCTTTGCAAATATTAATTGAGCATAGTGATTTGGGTTGATATCTGGGTTCTCTATTCTATTCCATTGGTCTATATGTCTGTTCTTGTGCCAGTACCAGGCTGTTTTGAGAACAATGGCTTTGTAATACAGCTTAATATACGGTATTGAGTTCCTTCCAACTTTCTTCTTTCTCAGGATAGCTGTGGCTATTCAGGGTCTTTTTTATTACAGATGAATTTTTGGAGAGTTTGTTCTAGGTCTTTGAAATATGTGGTTGGTATTTTGATGGGGAGTGCATTGAATCTATAGATTGTTTTGGGTAGTATGAACATTTTAATGATGTTGATTCTACCAATCCTTAAACAAGGTAAATTCTTTCATCTGTTTATGTCTTTCTCTATCTCTTTTTTTCAGTGTCCTGTAGTTTTCCGAGTACAAGTGTTTTACCTCCTTAGTTAAGTTTATTCCTAGGTATCTTAATTATTTTGGTGTTATGGTAAATGGGATTGTTTTTTTACTCTATATTTCTGTAAGTTCACTCTTGGAATATAGAAATGCCATAGATTTCTTGGCATTAATTTTGTAGCCTGCTACATTTCCAAATTAAGTCTAATAATTTTTTAATGGAGTCTTCAGGGTTTTCTCTGTACAGTATTATGTCACCTGTGAATAAGGATAACATAATACTGCACAGAGAAGGTTTTACTTCTTCTTTTCTAATCTGGATGCCTTTTATTTCTTCTCCTTGTCTTATTGCAATGGCTAGTACTTCTAGTACTATGTCAAACAAAAGTGGTGAGAGTGAGCATCCCTGTCTTGTTTCTGTTCTTAGGGGAAATGGTTTTAATTTTTGCCCATTCAGTATGGTGTTGACTGTGGGTTTGTCATTATGTTAAAGTATAATCCTTCTATTACCACCTTACTGAGAGTTTTTAACAAGAAAGGATGTTGGATTTTGTCAAATGCTTTTTCCACATCAATGATATGACTATGTGATTTTTATCTCTCAATTTGTTTATGTGATATATCCTTTTTATTGATTTACGGATATTATACCATCCTTGCATCCCTGGGATAAATCCTACTTGGTCATGGTATATGATCTTGCTAATGCTTAATCTGATTTGCTGAATCTGAATTTTGTTGAGTATTTTAGCATTTATGTTCATCAATGATATTGGCTTCTAATTATCTTTCATTGTGTTGTCTTTATCTGGTTTTGGTATTAGGGTAATGCTGGCTTCATAGAATGAGCTTAGAAGTGTTCCTTCCTCTTCATTTTTTTTTTTTTTTTTCGAATAGTCTGAGGAAGATAGGTCTTAATTCTTCCTTGAATGTTTGGTAAAACTCTCCTATGAAACCATCTGGCCCTGGGCTTTTGTTTTCTGGAAGCTTTTTGATGACTGTTTCAATTTCTTCCTTAGTTATCGGCATATAGAATCTTCCTCATTGCATTTTGGAAGGTTGTATTTTTCTAGGAATATGTCCATTTCCTCCAGATTTTGTAGTTTGTTGGAATAGAGCTGTTCATAGTATCTTTTAATAATCCTTTGTATTTCTGTGGGGTCTGTTATTGTTTTTGCCTCTTTCATTTTTGATTTTGTTTATTTGGGTCCTCTCTCTTTGCTTCTTGGTGAGCCTGGAATGAGGTTCATCAATCTTGCTTATCCTTTCAAAGAACCAGCTCTTGGTTTCATTGATCTTTTGTATTTTTTTTCTCTATGTCATTTATTTTTGCTCTGATCTTTATTATCTCCTTCCTTCTACTCACTCTGGGCTTTTCTTTTTGCTTTCTTTCTAATTCCTTAAGATGTAAAGTTAGATGATTTACTACCATTTTTTCTTGTGTGTTTTTTGTTTGTTTGTTTGTTTGTTTGTTGTTGTTGTTTTAGGTAGGCCTGTAATACTATCAACTTGTCTCTCTGGACTACTTTCACTGTGTCCCATAGGTTTGGGATTGTTGTGGGTTTTTTTTGTCATTCATTTCCAGGATGTTTTTAATTTCTACTTTGATCTCTTTGATAACCCAATAATTGTTTAATAGCATGCTATTCAGTCCAAGTGTTTGAATTTTTTATTGTTTTTATTGTAGTTTATTTCTAATATTATGCCATTGTGGTGTGAGGAGATTTAATAGAAAAAGTCTTGTTAAATCAATAGGAAATAGGGTAGGAATTTAAGTATAAATTATGAGCATGGCTACTCAGCTAGTTCAAATGAGCAAGTGTTATACCTTTTGGCTTCTGTTTCTTTTCTTTTTTTAATATATTTTATTGATTTTTTACAGAGAGGAAGAGAGAGGGATAGAGAGTTAGAAACATCAATCAGCCGCCTCCTGCACACCCCCCACTGGGGATGTGCCAGCAACCAAGGTACATGCCCTTGACCGGAATCGAACCCGGGACCTTTCAGTCCATGGGCCGACGCTCTATCCATTGAGCCAAACCGGTTTTGGCTGGCTTCTGTTTCTTATTCCTTTTTAGTTCCTGGTGTATCTCTGAAAGGGTTAAGTCCTTTGCTCTCATAGTTCATTCTATAATAGCCTATCTTGGTATTGGGAATCCTGAAAATATTGTGTGACACTATGTGTGATCTGTGTGTGACTATGTATCGATACAAGTTCTAACCTCAGTCAGTTCAGAAACAGTGGAAATTGTCTTGGCTGCTGATTTGTGAACACACATACAGTTGTGTCACAAACACAAACACATGCTCCCCTTCCCCTTCCACCCCCAGACACACACACACACACACACACACACACACACACACACACACACATACACACACACATCCAGGTAGGATCGAGTCTTCATCCAGTAAGCAGCCATTTGACTCTTGAAACATTTTCCTGTTTCATGCACTTGTGTCTTTGCACTAAGTTTAATATGAAGACACCTGTCCAACATAAATAACATTCTAAAAATATCTGCCTGAGGAATTAGGTGTGTACTGGAAACAGTGTGATGAAGAGCCAGTAATGGTTTTCTTTGTAGCATAAAAACCAGAGGGAGATGGTTTCTCAGGATAGGATTCTTTGGATTTGTAGGTGATTTTTTCATCATGTGGGGACTTGGACCTGCTGGAGCATCAGACAAGCTTGGTCTCTTCCGAGGATGGTGCCCGAGAACCGGAGAACATGGATGATACAAACAGTGAGCAACAGTTCAGAGTCTTTAGAGACTTCGATTTCCTGGATGTAGAACTAGAGGACGGAGAGGTATAGTATATTCTCTAAAAATAACCCACTTGACTAACAAAAGTTTCTTTTTACCTGCTAAAAAATGAATTTTTATAACTGAGTCTCAATGAAAAGCTGTAAACTTTATTTTAAACCAATATATCCAAGTACAGCAGCTTCACTTTGGCACAAGTTACCACACCCTTCCTGTCTGAGCCCACAGCAGATGCTGCCAGGTTATTTTTAAATGGCTATAAATTGACTGCTGATGACCATACAAAGGCTGTGTGTATAGTCCAACAGTGAACTTTAAACACACACACACACACACACACACACACACACACACACACACAAAATATTCAAGTTCTGAACCTGTTTGCTGGTACCTGGCTAAAACAAGCGGAGTGTTTAATGCTTACAAACATGAAATTGCCTTAATTCCATTACTGGGAAGCTTGCCTGCGACAAAATGAGCCAGGAGCCTGTGGTCTCTGGGGCCTTTGTGTTGCCTGATTAGGTCATTAGAACTCGAAACAGGATGGAGGGCAGAGGAGAGTTTCTGGTTCTGATGTGGACGGGTAGCTGGTTTTCCCCACACTTGGAGCAGCTTTACTCAAGTCTCAATAGGCAAAGGCAGATTTGTGTATTTGGATGACAAGTATAGTAATAAGATGCTTTCAGTTATGAATATTTTTAAAATTTGGGATTTGAAGGCAACACATTATCCCTTTGCTCTCATTTTGATAATTTGGGGAGTGTTCCTTTGCCTCAAAGGGCAGAAATGAAATTCACTAAAGGAAGACTGATATGTGTAAAAATGCCAGATACCCCTAGTACCAAGTCAGCTCCTGGTGTTAGTCAACATGCTTGAGCTTACATGTAACTATACACAGTCTGTTTCCCAAAGAAAGGACTTTCCGCTAGACTTAAAGTTAAAGCAGAGACCCAGATTCAAAGTTTATCATCTCCTATAGTGGGACAGCACCTCCTAAATTAACTAACTTCTTACCTTAATTAGCTTCTTACCTTCCTTAAAAGGATATGACTGCTGACCAACTCGTTTATATCAAGGTGAGGCCAATTGGCTCTCTGTTTTTGTCCCTTTGGCCACTGATGACCCTGGATATCTGTGCCAGCAAGGGAGAATCTTATCCTCAGAAGGAACAGTATTTTCTTTATCAATATTTTTCTGGAAACAAGTTTGGCAGCCCAGTATGTAAAGAACTAAAGGCACTAACTACAACGCAGCTTTAAAATAAGTGTCAGCTTTTCACTTTGAGTTGTTCTAGTATTATAGAAAGTAGTGCAGAATTTTCTGGTTGTTCATCACAATTAGTAATCAAGATATCAATTTCGAATTGTGTTTATGATTGTTTTAAAAGTCTTCCATGAAATACAACAGTTTTTAATGTCTCTGAGCCAGAGCTACCATATTTTTCGGACCATAAGACGCTCCGGACCATAAGACGCACCAGTTTTTAGAGAAGGGAAATGAAGAAAAAAAGATTCTGAAACAAATAGTGTCCTAAAATATTTTATGTGCATTAAAACCCAACATCACAGTCATAAACACATGTAATCAACCTTGTAAAGTAAACAGCAGCATTTAGAACCATTTTAGAGCCGGACAAGCACACAGAGACCACACAGAGCCGGGCAAGTAAAAAAACTTTTTTTTTAAAGTATATGTGTAGGCTATATTTGGACCATAAGACTCAGGGACTTTTTCCCCCCACTTCTGGGGGGGAAAAAAGTGCGTCTTATGGTCCAAAAAATACGGTACATGGAATGTCACAACATGAGCTCCCTGGCCTGAGCAGCTAACCCCATCTTCCCTCCTAGGCTAGAATTCAAGCTCAGGCACCCTCTTCACTCTGAAAATAAAACTAAAGAAGGAAAAATTGACCTTGCAAGATACACATCATTTTCTAAAGTTGATAAAAGAAAAGCATGTTATGTAATATGACTTAGCAGGAGAATCAGACACAGTCTTAGAATAACTAACAAATTTAATTTCTATCAAAATAAAGGAGGAAAAAAAAAACTGAGATGCCCATCACTTGAAAATAACTATGACACTAATGTTTGTCAGGGACAATAAGTAATGAATACTACTGGTGTTCTCTCTATTGTCCTAGCCAACAAGAACTACATCACAGCATCACAGTGATGACTTTATCTTATATAATTAAGATTTCATAGACACTCAAGAGTATGAAAGTATATATGTACCCAAATAAAATAAACCATATGAGAAAGTTTTACTACATCTCAGTAAGATACAATAAGGGATGCTATCACGCTTCTGAGGGGTAGCGTAAAAATGCATAGGCTTTGGAGCCAGGCAAGGTCCTAATTTGAATTACAGCTCTGTCACTGACCTCACTGTATGACCATAAGCATGCAGTTTCTCTTGGCTTTCTCGGATACTCAATGGGTATAATAATACCTGCCTATAAAGTGGATCTGAGCATTTAGTGAGGTAACCTACATAAAGCTTCTAGCAGTGTCTCAATGTCCATTCCTTTATACTATCATTGGTGAATAATTTTAGTTTTTCCTCATCTGAGAAACTTAAGCATACTTACCGTCTAGATAAAAACACAGTTATAAAAAAGACAGTTTTTTGGTCATATCTACTTCTTTTCATTAAATTACCTCAGAATTTATTGCCTACTATTGGTAAGGGTTCGGCCCTGAACTTTTTAGAATCTTTGCAAGGTGCGGTCTTTGCTGTTAACTACATATCAGCAGTGAAGAGACCATGATCACACACACCTTTCTCTTGGTGAGCAGGATCAGGTGACACCATCATTTTGTTCCAGTTGATGACTTGATACATTTTCCCATGACATTTCACAATTTTCTCACAAATACTTTAGTCATCCCCACTCCCCAAAAAGTGTTGAGGACAAAAAAGTGGCCACTAAAGGGGAAAACTGTTTCAGAAATTGTACTTGTGATTTATTGCTCCACTTCCATTATTCACCACTATGAGGTTTGGAATTTCTGGTTTGATGCCGATTTTCTCTTTGGGTTTATATACATTTACCTTTGTTTAAGTTGCATCTACTGAAGTATATATTGTTAGCACTGTTCATTGTGTTAAAACTAAGAGAAAAGGACTTTAGTATCCTTAGTGTCATCATTTTAAATAGACCTTTTAATTTGTTTCTCTGTTCACCCCATCTGCTGCCCAGGAGCTTCAGGTAAGAGAATGCTCTTTTTTCAGATACGCAAGTCAATGTTTTGCATTTATGCAGATTAATAACAACAGAGTTGCTTCTTCCTCCCTTCCAGCATATGTATGCCTGTTTGTATGCATATTCACATTGATGGGTGTGTGATTTAAGATGTCTTTTTTTCCTCAATTGCTCTAATCTATTATATAAAAGCCTAAGCAACCATTACAGCAGAATGATTAGAATGATTGGAATGACAAGTCATTATGACACACACTGAGCAGACAGGCAGGCAAGAATTTAGGAGCTAGCAGGCAGGCAGGTGAGTGGTTAAGGGCGGGCAGGCAGGCAGGCAGGCAAATGGTGAGGGCGAGCAGGCAGGCAGGAGAGCGGTAAGGGCAAGCGGTCCCAGATTGCGAGAGGGATATCTGACTGCCATATGTCTGACTAATCAACAGTAACAGCAGTCTGTGCCCAGTGTAGTAATCTAGGATCTAGACATTCATATTTCTGTGCAAGCTTATGGTTCTATCTCGTGGTCAGTGAGGGATGCCTTCAGAATTGTTCCCTGAAATAGTTCATCGAACATATCCACTGATTTGGTACAATAGAATAAGTTTTGTGAATTTATATTTTACATTTATATTTGTATATTTCTCCCAGTAATTTTCACTTTCCTCTTTTTTCCCCTCTGTCTAGTATTCTCATTTTTTTTAAAAAAATTTTATTTACTCACATATTGCATTCTCTTTTTTATCCAGAACTCTTGCCTTTCCACTTTTTTCCCACTAAAATGGCTATTTTTAAATTTCATCACAATAGCATATGCACCAGGAAAAATTTTTATTTGGTGGTAATTTGTCACAGCAGATATAGATAAAAAGTGCAGATATGGATAAAAAGTACAGATATAGATAAAACAGCAGATACCAGCTACAGAATATAGAAATCATATTCTGAATCTGATTTCTTTGTATAATGAAATAGTCCTAAAACAATAATAAATGGGGTTGAATAATGATAATTTGTATATTATATCCAGAATGTGTTTAAGATTCTTACCTGTTGCCTTCTACCATGAATCACCAAAACAGATTTTGGAATACCTAAGCATCTGCATCATGAGAGATCTGTGAGATATTCTGTCAAGCTTTGTGTTATTAAGAGCAAGAAGAAACAGCCCTTAAACCAGAGGAAAATTAATCAATGTAATGCTCACTGATTTTAACAATAATTTGCATCTCTCACATTACATTTTTTTATTAACTGAACTCTCCCCATAAAAAGTTAATGGTGAGCCATCAAACAGTGCTTTAAATGACTCATAAATGGAAGGATTCTATATTATATGTTATTCAGATTACCTATTTATTTTTGTTAAACCTTGCTTACCAATAAGATATAATATTTCCCTTCTTTTATTCCTATTTTGAGAGAAAAATATTGTGAACACACAATACAATATACAGATGATTTATTATAGAATTGTATACCTGAAGCTTATATAATTTTATTAATCAGTGTATCACCCCAATAAATCAATAAAAAGTAAAGAGAGAGAGAGAGAATGTAAGTTCACAAAATTTCTACAAAAACATTTTATGTTGATCAAATAAACATACTTAATAACATATGGTTTGTAAATAAAGCCTGAGATATAACTCACAGCTTTCTTTAAAACTTGCTTTGCCCTTAACCCAGGTGGTGCCTCAACCAATTCGCATGCCACCCAGGGCTCTTTTTAAAAAAATATATTTTATTGATTTTTTACAGAGAGGAAGAGAGAGGGATAGTTAGTTAGAAACATCGGTGAGAGAGAATCATCGATCAGCCACCTCTTGCACAACCCCCACTGGGGATGCGCCTGCAACCATGGTACATGCCCTTGACTGGAATGGAACCTGGGACCTTTCAGTCCACAGGCCGATGCTCTATCCATTGAGCCAAACCGGTTTCGGCCACCCAGGGCTCTTTAAGCGGTTGAGCATTACAGGTCGCCAACAAGTGGCAGCAGGTCTTGGTGTGCCATAGGTCTTTTCCTAGTAGCAGCAGGTCTTGGTGTGCTTGAGGTCTTTTATAGCAGCTGGCCTTTGTTTGCAGTGTAGCCCCTCCCATGCAAATCCAAGCTCAGCATTAAGTAAGGATTGCTAGGTAGTGTCTAACAGTTAGCCCAGGCCCATAACAGGCAGCATCGGACATGGCCCAGCACTGGAGTCCTTCCCAAGGGGCCCCTGACAGTGGTTATCACCGAAGTACCAGAATTGGCAGACAGAACAGAAGAAAAGAGCCCTAAACCCGCTCCCATGGGGCATTAAAACTTGACTGAAGTGAACAACACTTAACTTTTTTATTTTTTATTATTATTTTCTTTGAACCTTTTTCTTCCTCTCTTTTCTTTTTTTCCTCCTATTTTGCTTCTCCTTTCCTCATTTTAGTTTTTCCCCTTTCTTCTTCCCCTTTTTTAAAACTTACCTTCTCAATCTGCTTTATTGATGTTATTATTCAAGCCTCTGTTGGTTTATTCATATATCTAATGTCCTCTTCTCTGCTCCTACTCTATTTTCTCTTCTCTTATTTTTTGTTCATTACTCAATTTTTTTTTAACTTTTTTCTCTCTTCTCTTGCTCTTCTCCTAATTTTTTAAGTTGTTTCACTGCCTAAATTTAGGCCTATCTGCTTTCTCCTCTATTCTACTTTCCAAAAATAAATCTTTTTTTTTATTTTTTCTTCTTGTCTTCATATTTTTCCCCTCCCTCCTCTACTCTAAACCATGGTCCTTCCCCTATTCCTCCAATTCCTTAACCTTATTTTCTTTATTTAAGCTCTGCATCTACCCCACCCTTTTTCCTGGGGGGTTTTTCTTTGTGCTTTTTTATTTGTTTTGTTGTGTTTTCTCCCCATTTTTCTTCTTTCTTTCTTCCTTCCTTCCTTTCTTCTTTTTTATTTCTTATATTCATTCTTGCTCTCTTTTCTCTTTCCTAATTTCATTTCTCTGATAGTCACTTTTATTGGAATTACAGCTGTCTTGTGTACATTTGTGTTCTGATCCTTCTGTGTCATGTCTTGTGTTGTATTTTGGCTGTTCACTCAGCACCTCAAAACAGCTGGCATGACGTGTTAGGGAGCAAACCAAATAATCAGATATCCTGAGAGGAATCTCTGTCCATGAAAAGGACAATAACATTCAAAACCCAACTACGTTAGGAGAACCCAAATATCTCAAGGACGGAGTATCCCTTGAACACCCATCCCAGGAGACCTAAAAGACTGTACCATGGGTCCCACAAAACATCTACTACATAAGACCAATTCAAAAAAGCTGGGTCATATAGCAGTTTGATTTAATACATAGAAACAATTACAAAGGAACAAAAAAATGGGAAGATAAATAAACAACCCCCAAATAAAAGAAAAGGAGGAATCACCAGAAAAGGGATGATGAAATGAAATTAATTAAATTAAATTAAGCTGAGCAATTTGTCAGAGAAAGAATTCATAGTAATAATTATAAGGATGCTCAAACAACTGAATGAGAAATTCACCAACAAGTATAAGAATCAAGAGGAATGAAGAATGACATAGTTGCAATAGAGAACACCCTGGGAGTTTTCAGCAGTAGATTAAAAGAAGCTGAAGATCAAATCAATGAGATAAAAGAAAAGGCAGAAAAAGCAGCTAGGCAGAGCAGCAACAACAACAAAAATAATTAAAAAGCAGGCGGAGAGTCTAAGGAAGCTGTGGGACAACATGAAATGAAACAACATCTACATAATAGGGGTGCCAGAAGAAGAGGAAGTTGAGCAAGGAATATAAAATCTGTTTGAAGAAATAATGACAGAAATTTTCCTTGATTTGGGGGAGAAAAAAAATCCACAAGTCCAAGAAGCACACAAAATCCCAAGCAAGATGAACCCTAAAAGGCCCACACTAAGATACATCATAATTAAATTGGCAAACACCAATGACAAAATAAGGATCTTAAAGGTGGCCAGAGAGAGACAGAAAGTTAACTATAATGGATCTCCCAGTAGCCTATCAACTGTTTTCTCAATTGAAACACATCAGGCCAATAGGGAATGGAATGAAATATACAGAGTGATGCAAGGAAAGGACCTGAATCTAAGAATACTCTATCCAGCAAGGCTATCATTCAAAGTTGAAGGTGAAATCAGGAGCTTCACAGGCAAAACAAAAACAAAAACAAAAACAAAAACAAAAACAAAAAAAACAGACAAGGTTATGGGAGCTTATTACCATCAAGTCAGCAAAGCAAGAAATGAAATGGTAAAGGGACTGGTATAAAAAATTAAAAAAAGGGAGGGAGGGGGAATAGAGAAAGAAGAAGGAAGACAGGCATAAAGAATAAAAATGGCAAAACAAGTACCTATAAATATTATTAAATATAAATGGATTAAATACTTTAATCAAAAGATATAGGGTAGCCTAATGGATAAGAAAACATGACCCATAAACATGCTCTCTACAAGAAACCCACCTTAGAACAAAGGACTCACAGATTGTAAGTAAAGGAATGAGGGGAAATTTTTCAGTCAAATGAAAATGGAAAAAAAAAGCTGGGGTAGAAATACTTATATCTGACAAAATAGACTTCAAAATGAAAGCCATAATAAGAGATAAAGAAGGTCACTTCACAATAATAAAGGGATCGATGAATAAGAGACTATGGCCCTGAGAAACATATATGCACCCAATATAGGAACACCTAAATATATAATTTTAAAAAAATTCTGGATGATATTAAGGGGGAGATTGACAGCAATACAATCATAGTAGGGGACTTTAATACCCCACTGATATCACTGAATAAATCTTTTAGACAAAAAATCAACAAGGAAACAGCAATCCTAAAGGACACTCTAGAACAGATGTAATTGATATCTTCAGAACATTTCACTCCAAAGCTACGGAATATACATTCTTCTCAAGTACACATAGGACATTTTCAAAGATAGACCACATGTTAGTGCACAAGCTAACACTCTACAAATTTAAGAAGATTGAAATCATATCAAGCATCTTCTTGGGCCACAATGGCAAGAAATTAGAAATCAGCTACAATAAAAATGTTCAAAACAATCAACTACATGCAACTAAATATTCAATGGGAAAAAACTAAAACCATTTTCCCTAAGAACAGGAACAAGACAGGTGTGCCTTCTTTTACCACTCTTATTCAACTGGAAGTCCTAGCTATAGTGATCAGACAAGAAGAAGAAATAAAAGGCATCCAAATTGGAAGGGAGGAAGTAAAACTCTCACTATTCACAGATAACATGAAAACCTTAAAGACTCCATCAAAAAACTACTAGCTTTAATAAATGAATTCAGAAACATCGCAGGATACAAAATTAACACCCAAAAATCTATAGTATTTTTATATACTAATAGTGAACTCTGAGAAAGAGGAACTAAAACAACAATCCCATTTATCATTGCAACAAAAGAAATTTTTGAGATATTTTAGAATAAACTTAACCAAGGAGGTAAATAACATGTACTTGGAAAACTACAGAACTTTAAAAAAAAGATATAGAGGAAATATAAACAAATGGAAGAATATGCCATGTTTATGCATTGGTAGAATTGACATCATTAAAATGTCCATACCACCCAAAGCAATCTATAGATTCAATTCAATCCCTATTAAAATACTAAGTACATATTTCAGACCTAGAACAAATACTACAAAAATTTATATGGAACCAAAAGAGACTCCAAATAGCTGCAGCAATCTTGAAAATGAAGAGCCAAGTTGGAGGAATCACAATACCAGATATCAAATTATACTACAAAGCCATTCTACTCAAAACAGCCTGGTATTGGCACAAGAACAGACAGATAGATCAATGGAAAGGAACAAAGGACCCAAGTCACTATGCTCATTTAATATTTGACAAAGGAGGCAAGAGCATACATTGGAGACAGTCTCTTCAATAAATGGTGTTGGGAAAATTGGACAAATGCATGCCCAAAAAATGAAACTAGACCTCCAACTTACACCATACACAAGAATAAACTCAAAATGGATAAAAGACTTAAATTTAGGATGTGAAATCATTAAAGTCCTAGAAGAAACTATAGGCTTCACAATCTCAGGCATCACTCATAGCAATATATTTACCAATATATCTCCTAGGACAATGGGAACTAAGGAGAAAATAAATAAACGGGACTTCATGAAAATAAAAAGCTTCTGAACTGCAAAATAAACCATCATCAAAATAATAAGAGAGCCCACTGCATGGGGGAACATATTTGTCAATGATACGTCTGAAGGGATTAATCTCTAAAATATATAGGGAACTCATACAACTTAACAAAACGAAGACAAACAATCCAATAAAAAAAAATGAGCAAAGGACCTAAATAGACACTTCTACAAGTGGGCATACAGAAAGCCAAGTGACATATGAAAAAATGCTCAAACTCACTACCCATCCAAGAAATGCAAATCAAAACAATGATATATCACCTAATACCTGTCAGAATGGCTGTCATCAACAAATAAACCAACAAGTGCTGTGAGGATGTGGAGAAAAGGGAACCCTAGGACACTGCTGGTGGGAATGCAGACTGGGTGGCCACTGTGGAAAACAGTATAGAGTTTCCTCAAAAAAATTAATAATGGAACTCCCATTTGACCCAGTAATCCCACTTCTAGGAATATATCCTAAGAAACCAGAAATACTCATCAGAAAGTATATATGCAATCCTGTGTTCATAGCAACACAATTTACAATAGCTAAGACTTGGAAACAGCCTAATCAGTAGATGAGTGAATAAAAAAAAACCTATGGTACATTTATATAATGGAATACTACATGTCAATAAAAAAAGAAAGAACTCTTACCATTTGCAACAGCATGGATGGACCTGGAGAATATTATGCCCAGCAAAATAAGCTAGTCAGAGAAAGAAAAGTATCACATGGTCTCATTCAAATGTGGAATCTAATGAACCAAATAAACTGATTATAATAATAGACCCAGAGTCATGGAAGCATAAACGGACTGTTGAACCTCAGAGGGAAGGCAGTGGAGGGTGGGTGGGAAGAGATCAACCAATGATCTTGTATGCATATATGCATAACCTGTGGACACAGACAGTGGGATGTTGAGGGCCTTGGGGGAAGGCGGCGGTAATGGGAGCAGGCTAGAAGAGGTTAAGGAGGGGGAGGGGTAGGAGGGAGAGAACCTATGTAATACTTTCAACAATAATAATTTTTTAAATGCCCAACTGGAAGGGGAAATTATAAATAAATTATGGTCCAACTGAAATATGGAATATTATGCAAGCATTACATTTTATATTTCCAGAGACTTTTTAATGAGAAAGAGATGTGTTTAAGAGATTATACTTTTTAAAAATATTTTCTTACATATATTATTTAATTCATACTAAAGTTAAATATTACTAATTGCCACTGTTAAGTAGTCCTAAATAATAGCATGTATGTAACAGAAAACTAAATAAAACAGAAAAAATTTTTTTAAAAAGTTATACTTTTTATTCATAAAAAAACATATTTTGCATGATTTCACTTTCTTTTGAAGAAGAATTATGTATATGCATAGAAAAATATATATATATGCTTTGTAAAAATACACAAATTTAAGAAATGAAAGAAAATCAAGCAATGGAATGATGAACATTGGTCCTAGGTTAAGTCCCTGGTTAAGAAGGGGTGCAGAGGATGGAATGGGGTGAAAATAACCATATAGTTAGATAAAGGTCATTATCAAGGATATGGCTTTTATTTGGGGAGGTGGGATCATGGGTTCTTATCGCCTAATCAAAAGTAAAATTAATATAACAATAAATCATGAAAAGAAAAAGAAAATGTGGTACATTTATGTAATGAAATTTTACTAAAAAGACACAACGAAATCTTACATTTGCAACACCATAGATGGACCTAGGGGGTATTATGCTAAGTGAAATAAGTCAGACAGAAAAATAAATCAAATACCATATGATTTCACCCAGCTGGCATGGCTCAGTGATTCAGCATTGGCCTATGAGCCAGGCAGTTATGGTTCAATCCCGGTCAGGGCATATGTCTGGATTGCAGGCTCAATCCCTAGAGTGGGGTGTGCAGGAGGCAGCCAATCAATGATTCTCTCATCATTTATGTTTGTCTCTCTCACCTTCTCTTTTCCTCTCTCTCTAAAATTCAATAGAAGCATATTTTTTAAAAATAAGAATAAAAAAGTAAAAATATCATATGATCTTATTTAGATGTTGAATCTAAGAAACAAAATAAATGAACAAACAGACTCAGATATGAGAACAAATTGAGGATTGCCAGATGAGAAGTGGGCAAATGAAAAAGATAAAGGGATTAAGAAGTTCAAATTGGCAGTTACAAAATAGGCACAGGGATATAAAGTACAGCATAGGAAATATAGTCAATAACATTGTAATAACTATGTATGGTGCCAGGTGGGTACTGAAAATATTGAGGAATCACTTAATAAAGCATATGATTGTCTAACCACTATGCTGTGCACCTGAAACTAATACAAAATAATATTGAATGTCAACTGAAATTGAAAAAAAAAAACTTTTTTAATGTACAGGCCATCAATAATGCTTAGTAGTCAGTCAGTCATTTCAGGTCCAGGAAAACAACTACTTTCTGTGTTGGGACAGTTTTTTTAAACGATCCAGAAGCAAAAGTTAAGCCCTGCTGCTGTGGCCTCTGCATCCTGCATGACTGGACAGATTTCCTAGCTGCTCTCCCATCTTCTTAACTGCATTTTATCTGTGAAAAATGCTGAAATGTTTGCCTAATGCTCTTCTCCTTGGTACCTGGAGTATGTGGAATATGCTAAAAGCATAGCTCCTACTTTTGCTCCTTCTGAAAACAGTACTAAAGTAGGGTTGGGGGCACATCCCTTTTGAAGTTATTTTACTATTAATGGTGTCTTTATTACAGATTTTTAGAAATAGATCATCTATGAAGTGTACCCCAATCAAGTTTTACAAAAACATAACATTACCCACCACACCATACAAAAGTATGTGATCAGTCTACCTATGATGCAATATACATGACAGTGAAAACAGTATGCTTTTCTCATCATGTCACCAAATGTTTGGTAGCAAAGGATATGAGGGCTTGAGAGTTCATAATGCAAATATTATTTCTAAGTCATGACTAACTGAATATGTGAAGATGTGAGTAAACGTAGGCATTAAAAAATAGCTTATGGTCTGATTTCAGGGTGAGAGTATGGACAACTTTAACTGGGGAGTACGCAGACGATCTCTGGACAGTCTGGACAAGTGTGACATGCAGCTTCTGGAGGAGCACCAGCTTTCAGGCAGTTCTCCCAGCCTAAACAAAATGAACCACGAGGACTCTGATGAATCTTCTGAGGAGGAGGACCTGGCCACCAGCCAAATCCTAGAGCACTCAGACCTCGTAAGTAAAGCCCTCCCACTATAGACACTGGCAGACTTGTTTTCGGAACTAAAGCAGTAGCAATTTCCAGTTGCAGTTAAAGAAACTTCCAGAGCTGCTAAACTAAAACGTGAACCATCATATGATGTCAAACTGAGTCTCAGTGGCCTCTTCTCGATAAGTTGTACACAGAAGCAAATGCTGGGGTATTTGTTATATTATACTATTAACAATCTCTGGATGCCATCAGATCTTTTAGGACCTAGATTTTCCCCAAATAACTTGCATTATTCTGAAACCTTTTAAAAATTCTTCAAATATCTGAAGTTTTAGGAACTATGACAGATAGACATTTTGATGTTGTTATCTATAAATGTGGGTACTTGTGTGTTAAGAGTGCTATGCCATCACACCAGGTTGCTAGCTCCCATTTTTAAGTTCTAATAACAGTGAACTATGTACATTAAACAGGACCTATCAACCAACAACTAGCTTGCTCATACAGTGGTATATACTCCTATGGAAAGAAGAATTAGAGTTTTTGTGGAAACATCACACTGTATTTTTCTTTCCTTTGCTTTGTCAACAGATCATGAATCTCTCCCCTTCTGAGGAGGTCAACCCTGTGGAATCATTCACATCAGCCTGTGAAATGACCCCCGCTGACTCTCATTCCTTTAGCACTAGAATGGCTAGCTTTGACTCTTCTTTGCCTGAGATGAATAGTCTTCAGATTTCTGAGGTTTCCAAGGTGAAGAGATTTTGGCAATTATGATTATAATTTTCTTAAAGAAAAAGTCCTTTCAATTTTCTGAGAATTCTTAGTGGGTTGCAAGTAGAGGGTCTACCTTCATCTTTTTCTTTCTTCCTTTTTTTATGTAATTGAGTTTGTGCACCTAAGCCTATATTTTAAGTTGTTTTATCCTCCTAACTTGAGCAGCCACTTCTTGTTGGTTGTAAGAGATTTCATAGGTCTTCTAAAAATGAAACAGTCTGCATTTTCCATTCAGCATGAACACAGCTGATTAATTAATGGCAGAACTAACTGGTATACCTATGTCTGAGATCGCTGTGATTGGGAAACTTCTGTTTTTTGTCATGACTTTTATAAAACAATGTGCTGTTGAAGTGTGGGTGTGTGCATGTATTGGAGGAAATTTTTTACTATGTAGGAACCAATTACACAATTTGTACATTGATTCAAGCCTCGCCTTTTGGCATACTATCAGAATTTTCAGTATTATGAACAAAACAGCTTCACCCAAGCAGCCATAGCCAGGCTCTCTGAGGAGAAAAGTAAGTAATGAATACCATTTTCTTATTTAAATGGTCAGCTTAAAAGAAAAACATAACAATGTATATTTAATTTAAAGCTTATTTATCAAAATTTCCAGAAAATATCCTCTCCATAAAACTAATCCCCACATTGTATAGGGTATCCCCCAAAAAATGTACACACACTTTGAATAATTATAAAGGCAGTTTTTTAAAATACATTTCATTTTAAAAATTGATCTATTAGCTGTTAAAGTGTGGTTGTGTATATATATATTTGTGAGACATTCTGTATATACTCTTTAGATTAGAATTTTGTTTTCTCATATTAGACATACCAAGATAACCTATTCTTGTTAAGAGAAAGTTGTCTTTATCTTAAGATTGGTCATAATAATATGTTTGAAAATAAAAATTAAAAAAAATTATAAAAGTACATTCTTCCTAATAGTTCTAATGGAAAAAAAGTTATAATGGGGGGAAATATTCTGTATTCTTTTATGGCTCACTAAAAATAGATCTGAGATCTAGGAAAATCTTACATACTTTAAACCAAGAACAACCAACCAAATTGCATCACCTAAAAATATTGAAGCTTAAAGAAAAAGTTTTTTCTAAGATTGCCCCATTGCAAAAGGACTATATGATCAATGATTCTTAGAGTTAGTAGAGCCATTTTTTAGCCAACAGGGGGCCAGAAAGAAAATGTATCTGAGATTAATACTCCAGAATTCTAAAATTAAGAAATTAAACTTCATGGAAAGTACATCACAAAATATGTGTGAAGTTATTAGCACTTGATATTTCTCATTCTTAGAATAAGCATTTTTCTATCTTTAATGCTAAGTTATATAGATTGCTCATAAAAAGCATTATCTAAATAATATTTTTATGGACACACAGATATCATCTAATTCTATCAAGAAAAGATTTGAATTTAATTTCTGAAAAGCTATCTTTGTTTAACATAATATGGTTTCTGCTATGTTTTATATATCTATGATGTTACAAAGAGAAAATAAAAGATATTTTTATAAGAACTCATGTGTCCCCTAATAGATTAAGTTTATGTACACTAATAACCCAGACCAGTCACCCATAGCCAGTCTCATTGGCACCACTCCAGTTTTAAAAAGCAGCAAGAAACAGATATGGATAAGCCTCCAAAATCCAATATATATGAGCAGTTCTTTTAAAGATATGAGACATTGCTAATTCCCTAACACATCTTTAAACACCCCTTTTAATTTCCCTATTAATCCTCATTAAAAATACTAAATTGGTGGCAAGATGTCTGTGATAATGTTCTAATTTATAGACATTTCTATTTTGCCCTGATTTTGTGTTTGTTTTAAGAAAACATGATTCACTGAAGCATGTATGTGTAATTTCTCTTCTAGTCTGTAATCCAGTTGTCTTCCTTACTCTCATAAAGAAAAGTCAATTCTACAGCTTTTTTTATTTTTATTTTAGTTGTTATGATTCCTCCTGTCCCTCCCTGATCCCAGTACTATCTGTCCTGCAGCCCTTTCATTTTGCTGCTCATTCTACATTTTATAGTAATGAGGAAACAACCCCTCATACATCAGTGGATCTCAGAGGGTTTTCAGTGTGGAAAGGTCTGTCAGTGTGATCACTATGGAGCATTGATGCACACTGGATACATTTCTTGGACATCTACTATACTGTAACTGAGGGTTTTAAATTCTAATTTCCACAGGTGAGGAATTCTGTGTTGGAAAGTTATATCTGAATAGGCTGGGGTTGTTCAATGGAAAGCATTCCAAATCCATTGGTGGTATTTCTAACCCCAGCTCCAGCTCTAATGAGATACTAGGCAAGGCCTTTCTCACATGGGACATAATTTCCTCATCAAATGTGGAGGTCAGAACAGGGGAACTGTGGTCTTTCCAATTTAGCCTCCATATTCCATAATCATAGTCAAATGTGGTAACCTCCCAAGAGCCTCTTTGAAAACCATTGTGAAGCATGAAAAGTAAAAAAAAAGAATAGTACTTCAGATAGTTCCTGAGTCTGCTTATAGAAATGATGACATTATAACTAGAAAACAAATGCCCCCAACTTCTGTCCCTGTCAGGATTTCAGCCTCTTTTCCTTCAGTTGAACAGACTTTCCCACGTATCTTATATATTGTGGGGTCTTTTCTCTCTTCATTTTCCAGACTGAAGCTGTACAGGAGGAGGAGGAGACCACCATACATGAAGATGATCTTTCTACTTCCATCAATGAACTCCCAGCAACTTTTGAATGTAGTGATAGCTTTAGTCTGGATATGACTGAGGCAGAAGAAAAAAGCAACCAAGCCCTGGACCAGTTCACTCTGGCAAGGTAAAGAAGCCCTTGGCAGAAGTGCGTGGTGCCAGTATGCGTGGTGGCCCGTGGGAATGCACTTACTCTGACTCAAGTTGAATGCCATACTCACGCTGCAGGGACCTCCTAATGAAGGAGTCCAAACTGACACATAATCTAGAGGGCTCCTAGTGATTTGGAATCATCCATCTCCAGTCGGGCCTATGTGGAACCAAAAAGGTTCTTATAAAGCCACATAGTAACAAAAAGCCAATGAGGACATGGTCTTTGTGAGCTTTGAAAATAAGAAAAATTGACAAGTCTCAGAAATGAGTTCTTTCCATTTTGAGTTGAAACACCAGAACAAGAGGCTCTTTATAAGCTAAATACCTACGCTTTTTCAAGCGGATGGCTTCTAGCCTCTTATTTCTGAAACGAGTGAGATATAGTCAGCGAATACAAATAGGAAAAAAATTAAAAAGGAATAGAGATATAAACCCTAATGTGGCATCTAGACTAAATCACAAGCTACAGGCTTACTTCAGGAGAAGAAAATCAGAACTCTAAAATCACTCCTCTGAACATTGAAAATAAGTAAAATCTTCTGATATGGCTAGACAAAGGGCCCCTGTTACATTGGCAGTATCTCCTCACCAAAGAGCTTACAGCAATGACCAGAGGAAGATCTGCCTTTTAACCTTTGTTCATAATCTCTCCTTTCTTTGTTTCTCTCTGCGTTCCTCTTTCCTTTCCTCCTTCCGCTTTTCTTCTGAGTATTTATGCATTATGCAAAAGATTCAAAAATTTTGTTCTAATCTTTCACAATGAAAAATGCCAAGAACTGAAAGGGCACAGAAAAGCATGTTACTGTGTCTTGAGAGTGGCCATCTAGACACGTCAGAGAGAATTGCTGAAGGCTAAAAGAGGAACCAAGTCTGTAGAAAGGAATCAGAATTGGAAGAATCACAGAAATTCTAGAAGTGAAAATTCTATTTTCTGGAATCTTAGAAACCTTTGAATGAAAGCAAAATTCCCAGAGCATGCCTCAAACAGAGGAATGGACAGAGTAGGACCCCTCATGAGGCTGACTCAGGAGTAGCACTTACACCACACTGTAAGGAATGACATCACTTCTTGACACAGTTGTCATTTCTTCCAGCTTTGGAGAAGGTGACAGGAGAGACTCTCCCCCACCCTCACCCTTCTTCTCGGCCATCCTTGCTGCGTTTCAGCCTGCAGCCTGTGACGATGCAGAGGAAGCCTGGCGCAGCCACATCAACCAGCTCATGTGCGACTCCGATGGCTCCTGTGCTGTGTACACGTTTCACGTGTTCTCTTCCTTGTTCAAGGTACCATGCTCACCTCTGGTAAAACAGTTGGGCTCTCTTGGGAGCCAGATAACTTCTCATTTAAGAAGTGATTGCTGTTTAGTTCTGGGTTTATACTATTTTCTCTTCCAAGCATATCTCTCTCTCTCTCTCTCTCTCTCTCTCTCTCTCTCTCTTCCCCTCTCCCCCTCGCCCCCCCCCCACTTCATCCTTTCTTCTTTTCAACCTTAATGTACTCAACCTTTTCACGCTGGTATTGTAAAGATCTTGGATAAGGACACATATGTAATATCTTAATCAATAAAGAAAAAAAAATGACAGGCTGCCATGATGTCCTGCTCCCTTCTGACATTCTGGCCTTTATTGGTGCCATGAATCCCAGACTACCATGATATCAGAACCATAAAGTAAAATCTCCAAGCCTCTCCCCATTTCTGCTTTCTCTGAGACCTCTCCTGCATCTTTTTTCTTCTTTATCTGTGTTTTTCCTTTCTTTGTATTTTATCCCAAGAATTCCTTAAACATGCTGCTGTGGCTATGAACAATTGCTTATTTTCCTTTACTGATTCTAAATAGACTAGAGGCCCAGTGCATGAATTTCGTGTATGGGGGTGTGTCCCTTAGCCCAGCCTGCACCCTCTCTAATCTGGGACCCCTCGAGGGATGGTTGACTACCCATTTAGGCCTGATCCAGGTAAGAGCGGGCCTAAACAGGCAGTCAGACATCCCTCTCACAATCCAGGACTACTGGCTCCCAACTGCTTGCCTCCCTGCCTTCCTGATTGCCCCTAACTGCTTCTGCCTGCCAGCCTTATCACCCCCTAACCATTCCCCTACTAGCCTGATAGATGCCTAACTGCTCCCCTGCCAGCCCGTTTGCCCCTAACTGCCCTTTCCATCAGGTCCGGTCACCCCCAACTTCTCTCCTCTGCCAGCCTGATCACCCCTAATTGCTCTCTTCTGCAGGCTTGATCACCCCCAACTGCCCTTCCTTGTAGGCCTGGTGCCTCCCAACTGCCCTCCTCTGCTGGCCATCTTGTGGCAGCCATCTTGTGTGTTGGAGTGATGGTCAATTTGCATATTAGATGAGATGGAAGGTCATCACTTGAGTCTACTATGTGAACCATAGCCCATCTAGTCTATATAATACCCTTTTACAAATTAAAACCAATGTCCCTCCCACCAGGGGGTTGCAGTAACCAGATGTGGCCAGCAGGGTGGAAGGCTGGATTTCGCACACACAGACACACACAGCTACATGTAAGCATCTCTTATGTGGGCACCTTCAGATTCAACTTGTTAGCTTCAAACACATTTAAAAATGACTCAACTACAGAGATGGCAAGAACTCAACTTCTGGTTGGTGCTTAAAAGTTTATTTTTATGCCTGCCCATCTCTGACTTGCAATATTTTATTTGTCTTACTCTGAACATTTACTCTCCAAATTTCATCAAATGTTGGCAGAGGTGGAGACAACCAAAGAAGAGAAAAGGTGCCTTATTAGGAAGAAACTCAAAGGTCTTCAAGCATCATTGTAGTTAACTAGCCTTGTGTGCTGTGTTTATTTATTTTTTTAAATATATTCTATTGATTTTATACAGAAAGGAAGGGAGAGAGATAGAGAGTCAGAAACATCGATGAGAGAGAGTCATCGATCAGCTGCCTCCTGCACACCCCCCACCGGGGATATGCCCGCAACCAAGGTACATGCCCTTGACCGGAATCGAACCTGGACCCTTCAGTCCCCAAGCCGACGCTCTATCCATTGAGCCAAACCGGTCCCGGCTGTGTGCTGTGTTTAAAGCAGATATTGACTCAGCCATGAAGATGAGGTCATAGTTGAAGATTTACTGACATGGAAGCTGGTTACCATATAGTTTAAAAGAAAACTGGTGTTAAATATATATATCACCAGTTTTCATATATATATTGTGTATGTGTATATATATATATATATATATATATATATATATATATATAGTATATGATACTGATCCTCTTTTAATGCCTAGAAAATAATGATTATATATTAGCATTTTATTATAGTTTATTTGGGATAATAAAATTATGGTTGTCTTTTATTTTCTTCTTTTTACTTTATTTCAATTCCTATTTTCCTATAATGAAAATGCTTTTCTTGAATTATTTTCAGAAAAGCATTTTTCTTAACTTTGTTTTTAATAATGCATGAAACAGAACTGCCACTGATAATACAAGGAAAAATGGAAAATAACTATGCAATTCCAACTTTGAATGGACATGAATAATTGATAAGTGGGGACATGAGTTAGAACTCAACTAAACATTGTTAGATGTTGAGTTCTGTAGAGTATACAGAGACTGGGACGATGACTTGGTTACACTCAGGGATGAGCCCTCTAACCACTTTCTGAAAGAGCAATGGCAAAAAATAAGGAACTATATAAAAAATGAATAAACTGGGATCATCTGCCTTAAATAATTTTAAATTCAAGAAGTTGTCATTTAGTTCATATAAAAGTAAAATTTGTTTTTCAGCCCAGAGGCCCTTTATATGACCCATTTTTGGTAAATTTTAGACCATGGTTACTCACTGAGTATTATTTGTGCTGCTGTCTCTCAAGTTTTTCAATTTACTTTCTGTGGAACCCATAAAAGGTTTAAGTAGACAAACTAAGATTGTGTCTGAGATTAAATGGGGACTATAAGAGCTGCCAGCCTTAAGACAGAAAACAATTGGCTGCTTAAAGATTAAAATTCCAGAAATACCCTAACATTAAACCAGATTGAAATTTAAGAACAAACTACCAGAAAGCTACCATTTGAGGTCAATTTCATTGTTAAGTGTTAAGTGTTCAGAAGCAAAGTAATTTCTCATTTAGATTTTTAAATAATGGTGAATAATGCATATCTAAGTTTGGCTGTTATAGTAACTTTATCTTATCATAGTTACTAGACTATTCATGCATAATTTTATAGTTCTGAGCAATACTTTTCTCTTCACTTAGAGAAGTTGTCTCCTCTTGACCTTACCTATCCTCCAAATTACATGCAAATCCCTGATTCTTTGTCACGTCAGTGAGTAAAGCCTCCTTATGTCCCTTCTCCTATCCCCTGGGCAGGTAATGGTGTCTTTCTTTGGTGACCCAGTAGCTGGCATCTTCACTAGCACACAATATGTGTTCAGTAAATGGAAGAAGAATGTACAGAAATGTAACTTAATGGAAATCTTAAACATACAGCTTCTGATTTACTGTCACTAAACCAACAAGCTGTTACATGAGCTGGGAGATGGGACCGGGCCCCTGCAGATGGTACATTAGGTTTGGATTTCTTTTTTCATCATTGTATTGATGAATTCCCATGGAATTTATCTGCAATAATAATACAAATGTGTACTTCCTATTTTGGTTTTAATATTATATATAGTCTTAAGAACTTTCTTAACTACTACCAAATACCATGTTATTGAAGGCAATCACAGTATCAAAATGTGCTAGAATTGAAATACATTTCAGAAATAGAGTCTATTAATCTCCTGTCATGTCTTCATCATGTCTGTTTACTATTTTCCAACATTTTTCTGTGTATATGAACACCACATTTTCCTATATTTCAGTGGATTTTGGAGGGCATAGAGGAAGTAATTGAAAAAATAATTTGTTTTTAAAAGCAAGGGATGTCTTGGTGTGGTCTTCTTTGGATTCCTTTTGTTTGGGGTTCTCTGCACTTCCTGGACCTGTAAGTCTATTTCTTTCACCAGGTGGGGAAAGTTTTCTGTCATTATTTATTCTAATAGGTTTTCAATATTTTTCTCTCTCCCTTCTTCTGGTACCCCTATAATTCAAATGTTGGCATGCTTGAAGTTGTCACGGAGGCTCCTTACACTATCTTTAGATTTTGGGGTTCTTTTATCTTTTTGTTTTTCTAGTTGGGTGTTTTTTGCTTCCTCATATTTCAAATCTTTGGTTTGATTCTTGGGGTCCTCTAGTCTACTGTTGGATTTCTGTGTATTATTCTTTATTTCAGACAGTGTATGCTTAATTTCTGACTGGTCCTTTTTTTTTTTTTTTTTTTTTTTTTTTTTTTTTTTTTTTTTTTTTTTTTTTTTTTTTTAATTCTTATTAAGATCCTTGAAGGTCTCACTAAGTTCCTTGGTGGTTTCTAGAAGATTCTTGAGTAACCTTATAACTGTGGTTTTGAACTTTATATCCAAGAGTTTGCTTTCCTCTATTTCTTTCATTCATGACATGTTTCTTTTTCTCTGCATTTTGGCTGCTTCCCTGTGTTGATGGAGTGGCTTTGTGTGGTAGGTGTCCTATAGAGCCCAGTGGCTCAACCTCCCCAATTACCTTAGGTGGACACTCTTGGTGTACCCCTTTGTGGGCTGGGTGCATAGTCTTGTTGTAGTTAAGCCTTGATTGCTGTTGGTACACTGGGAGGAATTGACCTCCAGGCCAATTGGCTGTGAGGACCCACTGTGTCTATAATAGAAGAACTACTGTGCTGGGAACACCCTTATGGAGCAGAATTTGCTTCAATGGGGCTTTGGTGCTCATTGAGTCTGCCTCTTGAGTGTGTCCCTTATGTATGTGAGGAGTTGAAATCTGGTGTCATCTCACACTGACCACTAGGTACACTGGCTCCTGGATCTCCAAGAATGTGCAAGTCAGCTACTGTCTGAGGCCACCCACCAGGAGCTACAGCAAGATCTGCAGATTTCTCCTCTTTGTTTGGGGTTTGGAAGTTTTGGTGCTCTCTGTCCCAGCTGCAATTTGTAGGTTAAGCTGCGAAAGGGCAGGTCATTCATGCAAAAGCTGCTGTGCACAGTTTGGGTGGGTATGTAAATTGGGTGGGGCAGGGTCTCAGGGACCCACAAGGGTGTAGCAAACATCTATGGCTGCCAGTCAGCCATCTCTGCATCTCCACGTTTCCACGTCCCAGCGTAGTAAACAATGATTCCTGCGAGCACCTCTCTGCTTTTCCATGCCTCTCCACCTACTACCCAGTCTCAATGAGCTTTTTTCTTTCTTTCTAGTTGTAGAACTTCTACTCAGCCAGCTTTCCCATGGTTCTGGGTGATAGTTATTTTGTATTTTAGTTGTAGTTTTGGTGTGGTTGTGAGAGGCAGCATGTACAGGTGTATACCTATGCCTCCATCTTGGTTTCCCAACTTCACCTCTCTTACCCTCAGTTTCATCACCTGGTTGTAAAGACTAATAAGTTCATGAAGACAGTGCTATAGAACAGAGTTAGGCATTTAATCAAACACACTTCCAGGGGAGATATTATTCTAGGTCCCAGGTAGCATTTACTTCTTCCTGCTCCAGAAGCTTTAATGGCACTATGTCAGCTTTGTCTCAGGGAGATGTGACATTGGAAAACAGAAAGGAGTTTCAGTTTGTAACTTGTCTCACCCACATTGATGTAACTTGACTAAGTCCTCTGATCTGATAGACACGTGAGGAGGACTCAGCTGCTGATCAACACTGGCTACCAGCACAAAGGAAAAACACATTTATTGGAATGACTCTATGAGCATCTACATGTTGGGAAGTGACATTTTAGGAAGAATCTTTGTCCATACTGGATCATTATTTACTTCACACAAATTTTCACTCTACCTAGGCTTATTTGACATTTTTATCAATTTTTTTAAAATTCTAGTCCATAAGTTAAACCTTTACAAATAATAACTACTTTGCCTTTCAGAATATTCAAAAAAGGTTCTGCTTTCTAACCTGTGATGCGGCCAGTTACCTTGGAGACAACCTCAGGGGGATCGGGTCCAAGTTTGTCAGCTCCTCCCAGATGCTCACTTCATGTTCTGAGTGCCCCACACTTTTCGTGGATGCTGAGACTGTGAGTTTCCCAGTCCTTCTCTGGAGGCGAATGACCTGTCCAGATTCTGGTGTGAATGACAGAGGGGTTTGTTTGTGTTGTGGTTTGTCTGAGTGACACTCTCATTGTTTCTGAGCAGCAATCAGTTATGGTGTGACTCCCAAAGGCTTGAGTGGGCACAGTAATGAAGATGCAGTGCCAGCCCAAATCAAGGCAAATAATTTCAGATAATCAAAAGAAAGCTCTTTTCCCATTAAAATACCAACAGCATATTTCACAGACCTAGAATGAACTTTCCAAAAATTCATCTGGAATAAAAAAGACCCGAATAGCTCAGCAATCTTGAGAAAGAACAAAGTAGGTGGAATCTCAATACCAGATATTAAGCTGTATTACAAAGCCATTGTTCTCAAAACAGCCTGGTACTGGCACAAGATCAGACATATAGATCAATATAATAGAAAAGAGAACCCAGAAATTGACCCAAGCCACTATGCTCAATTAATATTTGGCAAAGGAGGCATGAACATACAATGGAGTCAAAACAGTCTCTTCAATAAATGGTGCTGGGAAAATTGGACAGATACATGAAAAAAAATGAAACTAAACCACCAATTTACACCATACACAAAAATAAACTCAAAATGGATAAAAGACTTAAACATAAGGCAGGAAACCATAAAAATACTAGAAGAATTCTCAGGCAGCAAAATCTCAGACATATGCCAAAGCAATTTCTACACTGATACTGCTCCTAAAGCAATGGAAATTAAAGAGAAAATAAACAAATGGAACTACATTAAAATAAAAAGCTTTTTCACAGCAAAAGAAACCATCAACAAAACAAGAAGGCCCACTGCATTGGAGAACATATTTGGCATTGTTATAATTGATAAAGGTTTAATCCCTAACATTTACAGGGAACTCATACAGCTTAACAAAAGGAAGATAAACTACCCAATCAAAAAATGGGCAACAGACCTAAATAGATACTTTTCGAAAGAAGACAGAAAAAAGGCCAAGAGACATATGAAAACATGCTCAAAGTCACTAATCAAATGCAAATCAAAATGACAATGCAATACCATCTCACACCTGTCATAATGGCTATCATCAACAAATCAACAAACTACAAGTGCTGGAGAGGATGTGGAGAAAAAGGAACCCTCATGCACTGCTGGCGGGAATGCAGACTGATATAGCCAGTATGGAGTTTCCTCAAAAAATTAAAAATGAAACTCTCATTTGACCCAGTGATCCCACTTCGAGGAATATATCCCAAGAAACTAGAAACATCAATTAGAAGGATATATGCACCCCTATGTTCATAGCAGCACAATTTGTAATAACTAAGATATGGAAACAGCCTAAGTGCCCATCAGCAGATGAATGGATTAAAAACCTCTGGTACATCTACACAATGGAATAATATGCTGCAGTAAAAATGAAGGAGTTCTTACAATTTGCAACAGCATGGATAGAACTGGAGAGCATTATGCTATGCGAAATAAGCCAGTCAGAGAAAGATAAATATTACATGATCTGGCTCATTTATGAAATATAATGAACAGCATAAACTGATGAACAAAAACAGATCCAGAGATAGAGAAACATTGATCAGACCATCAAACCTCAGAGGGAAGGTAGGGGAGGAGGAGGGTAAGGGGAAAAGATCAACCAAAGGACTTGTATGCATGCTTATAAGCCTACCCAATGGACACTGACAACAGGGGCGTGAGGGCATGAGTGAGGGGGGGAAGGGGATATGGGAGTTATAGGGGTATAAAGACACATATGTAACACCTTAATCAATAAAGAAATTTTAAAAAGAAAAAGAAGGGAAAAAAAGAAAACAAAGCCCCAGGTCAGAGGAATGGTGGCAGAAGAGAACCCCTTGGCCACTCACCCTGAAATTTCAACAAGTAAACCAACTATAATTCCACAAAGAATTATCTGCTCAATACAGAGGCATGCCTGAGAGACCGGTGCATTGAAACATCTAAAAGTGGACAACTGGGAATAAGCAGGGAAACAAGAAGGGAAGAAATTTCTGATGGCCCACAGATGCAGCCTTGGGGCTGGAAGCTCACAGCTCATTCTGAAAAGTGAAGGAAGCCAGTGAGAGCAGGCACTTACTTCAGCTAGGAGGAACAGAGAGCTACAGCGGGAAGTCCAGCAAGGCAAGCTATAAATGGATTAAAGAGTGACTGAGGCAGCAGATGCCTGACAGATCATTGGGTGTGCCATGTGTCTTCCCACTGTCAGTCTGGGAAGAGTTGTTTCAGGCAAAAACAAAAAACAAAAAAAACAAAAAAACACAGAACCAGAGAGCCCTGCCACCACTCTTAATAACAAAACATGCCTCCCGTCCTTGGAATTGGGTCAAGGAGCATATTTTCTGTAAACCAAGAACTATTTTAGTGCAAGGACTGTTTTCCTCTGTGACTAATCTCCAGGTGGAGTGCTTGGGTTGGGACCCCACAGAGGTCAGGGGTCACTATAATGGTGAAGGCAAAATAAAACCTATCCCCAAGCAGCACTGCTGTATTATCTTATGGAAGCCATGGGGGTCAGGACTGGGACATCATAGAGGTAAAAAAAATATTGCAATTAAGCACAATTTACAGGAAAATGATTACAGACAGAGATATATGCATAGGTAAAGGAGAATAGCAAATACCATTAACAACTACAGTAATGAAAACAATCAGAAAGAAAAGAAAAAAAACCCAGAAAGCAAGCTAGAACACATGGAAATATGTGATATAAATGGCAAAGATTTCAAAATTGCAGTTCTGAAAATATTCAACAAGATATAAGAAAACAAATCAATGAACAAAATGAGTACTGAGGAGATTGAAACTTAAAAAAAAAGAACCAATTAGAAATCCTGAACTAAAGCATACAATTAAGGAGATTAAGAGTGAACTACTGAGCATAGAAAACAGAGCCAAGCAAGTGGAGGAAAGAATTAGTGATATTAAACATATCGAGAAATGAAATGACAAAGAGGGAAGAAGAAAGAGACATGAGCATAAAGAAAAATGAAAGAGCTCTAAGAGGACTATTTGACTCGATCAGAAAAAAGCAATATGAGAATAATAGGCATTCCTGAAGAGGAAGAAAAAGGAGGAGCAAGGAACAGAGAGTCTATTCAAACAAATGGTGGATGGAAACTTTCCAAACCTATGGAAAGAACTAAATCCTCAAGTCCAAGAAGGAAACAGAACACCTAGATACCTCAATCCAAAGAGGCCCTCTCCAATTTGTATTAAAACTATCAAAAATTAATGACAGAGAAAAAATTCTCAAAGCGTCCAAAAAAGGAAGTGACCTACAAATGAACACCCATCAGAATTTCATCCCACTTCTCAGCAGATACTCTACAAGACAGAATAGAGTTGAACCAAATATTGAAATGTCTAAAAGAGAGAAATGAACAACCATGAATAATATATACAGTAAAATTATCCCTTAAATATGAAGAAGAAATAAGGTGCCCCCAAACATACAGAAGCTGAGGGATTTTATCACCAGAAAACCTCCATTGCAGAATTACTCAAGGGAATTATTCTACTTAAAACACAGAACAGCCCTGGCCAGTTTGGCTCAGTGGATAGAGTGTCAGCCTGCGGACTCAAGGGTCCCAGGTTTGATTCCGGTCAAGGACATGTACCTCTGTTGTGGGCACATCCCCGGTAGGGGATGTGCAGGAGGCAGCTGATGGATGTTTCTCTCTCATCAGTGTTTCTAACTCTCTATTCCTCTCCCTTCCTCTCTGTAAAGAATCAATAAAATATATATTTTTTAAAAAACATAACACTACAAGTAAGGTCATCAAAAAACTTGCAGCATAAACAGGAATAATTTGCAACAACGAGAACATAAAAGAAGAGGGGGTTATGTTCTGAACCACCAAAGATCAGATACATTCAAAAGGGAAAACACTATAGTATATATGTAACTTTATTTTTTGTGAAACTAATGATAGCCACACACAAAATCCCCAAACCAAGACATACAGCTTTAAAAAAAAGAGGAAACAAAGGAAAGAAGTATAGAATACCACCAAACAAAATCAACACACAGAAACACAAAGGAAAACCAATGGAGGCACAGAACTAGCAGAAAACAACATATAAAATGGCTATAGGAAATTTTCATCAATAATTACTCTAAATGTAAAAAGGCTGAATTCACCAATAAAGAGGCACAGAGCCAAAACTGGTTTGCCTCGGTGGATAGAGTGTCAGCCTGCGAACTCAAGGGTCCCAGGTTCGATTCCGGTCAAGGGCATGTACCTTGATTGCAGGCACATTCCCAGTAGGGGGTGTGCAGGAGGCAGCTGATTGATGTTTCTCTCTCATCCATGTTTCTAACTCTCTATCTCTTTCCCTTCCTCTCTGTAAAAAATCAATAAAATATATTTTAAAATAAAAAAGAGGCACAGGGTAGCAAAGTGGATCAAAAAACAAAACCCAACCTACCTGCTGTCTATGTAAGACACATCTAAGCTGCAAAGACAAAGGCATATTCAGTTAAAGGGTGAAATTTTCTAAGCAAATAACATCCACAGAAAAGCAGATGTAGCCATAGTTACATCATACAAAGTATAATTAAAGATATCAAGAGACAAAAGTGAACACTTTATAATAATAAAGGGAACACTACATCAAGAAACCATAACACTTCTTATATGTACCCAACCAGGGAACACCAAATATATAAAACCACTACTCACGAAACTAAAGGGAGAAACAGATCATAACACAATCAGAGTTGGAGATCTAGACAGTTCTAGACAGATCAGCAAAACAGAAAATAAATAAAGGAATATTAGCCTGAAATGAAACACTGGACCAAAGGAACATAATTAACATTTATAGAACCTTTATCCCAATCATCAGAGTATACATTCTTCTCTAGTGCACATGGAACGTTCTCAAAGATGGACCTACATCTTTGGTGAATATAATGCAAAAATCCTAAACAAAATACTAGCAAATTGAATACAATAAGCACATCTAAAAAATAAGCATCACAATCAGGTGGGGTTTATTCCAGGAGCACAAGGATGGTTCAACATATGCAAATCAATCAACATAATACACCACATTAACAAAAGAAAGGACAAAAAACATAGTTTTATCAATAGATACAGAAAAAAGTATTTGATAAAATAAACATTCATTTATGATTAAAACACTCCATAAAATAAGAATAGAAGAAAGAACCACAATATAAGAAAAGCCATATTTGATAAACCCACAGCTAATATCATACTCAATGGTGGAAGTTTTTCCTCTAAGATCAGGAACAAAACCAGGAGGTCCACTCTCACCACTCTTATTCAACACAGTGCTGGAAGTCCTAGCCAGAGCAATAAGGCAAGAGAAAGAAATGAAAGGCATCCAAATAGGGAAGGAAGAAGTCAAACTGCCACTTTTTGTGGATATGATTCTATATATGGAAAGCCCGAAAGACTCCACCAAAAATAAACTATTAGAAAAATAAACAAAAGCAGTTAAGTTGCAGGATACAAAATCAATGTGCAAAAATCCATTGCCATCCACAATAAAATATGAAAAGAGATGAAAAAAATACCTTTTGCAATTGCAACCAAAAGAATAAAATAATTAGAACTTCACAAAGAACATAAAGACCCATATTACAAAGCATTATAAAAAGAGATTGAAAAAGACACAACAAAATGGAAAAAATATCCCATGTTCATGGATTGGAAGAGTCAACATAGTTAAAATGGCCATATTACCCAAAGCAAAATATATATTTAATGCTATTTACATCTATATCCCTATGTCATTTTTAAAATAAATGAAATGAGAAATCATCAGATTTGTATGAAACCACAAAAGAACTCAAATAACCAAAGGAATCCTGAATATGGTGAGTCATCATGTCAACCAATGTCACCACAATAAATAAATAAGTAAATAATAGTTCCACCTTTCTCCAATGGCTCCGACTTTGACAGCTATGAATATGGTGAGTGATCCCTCCAGAGCTGACCTAGCCTATCCCCACAATGCTAAGTTGCCCAGCCAGATGAGTCTACAGAGGCAGCATGTCATTATTTTTCTCATATCCAATCCTCAACAAGATGCTATCTACCCTCTGGATTCATTCATCCAGCCCAAGCAGCAAGGGATGAGTTTAAAGTGTGGTTAACTCTAACCCTGAAAGACTGGTAGGTCTTTGGGGTTGGGGGGTATTACGTGCTTGTACAACCCCCATGCATATCACAGGACCATCTTGTATGCTGGGTAATTACTGGTGTTTAGAACCAATGAGGATGTGTTTTAATTATGAAAGTCTCTGAGGAGTCAATATTTCTAAGAACTTGATTGGTGGTTGACTGTCTTGCAGCAAGGCATACAATCTGAAAAACCATCCCATCTTAATAACTCAAAGTACACATTAAACACAAAATCACTTTGAAAGGCTATTTACTAGTAGAGTTCTGTCTTCATGCTACTTGGCGAATTACTGGATGAAGATACTAATGTTCATGTGTAAAATGTACAGTGTATCTTAATGTGGGCTTCTGTGCAATATTTGCTAAGATTTCTCTGTCTATATTAATATGGGAAAAATGGATATTTCCATATTGAATTTGAATTTGTAAGATAATATTCAATTGCAATTGCAGCAAAATTACAAATTGCACAACTTACTAAATATACTTCTCTTTTCTTTTTCTTAAAAATGTTTTAATTAAATTCTTTTAGAGAGAAAGGAAGGGAGGGGGATAAAGAGATAGAAACATCAATGAAAGAGAAACATCAATTGGCTGCCTCCTGCACAGCCCCTATTGGGGATCAAACCCACAACCCAGGCATGTGCCCCAACCACGTATCAAATCAGAGACCTCTTGGTTTATGGGTTGACACTCAACCACTAAGGTATATCAGCTGGGCCATATGCCTCTCTTTCACTATCTGTATAGTCATGCCTTGTCCAGGTATATCTCTAGCTGTTTTAATACAAATTATTTTTCTGTCTTTAGCTCCTTTCTTGTGGACTTCTGGACAAGCTCAAGTTCAGTGTTTTAGAACTGCAGGAATATCTGGACACATACAACAACAGAAAAGAGGCCACTCTCTCAGTAAGTGTGTTTGCATTCCATTAGAACCCAATGAACTCGCCACGGTGAGCTTCTGGGAGGGGTTGGCATTAACCTAAGGGAGCCACTTTGGGGAGAAGACCAACTCCATCTATTCCTCTGCTAGGGATTAAAATTCCAATTCAGTGGTGGTAAAACTCTCAGTATTGTGGATTATATAAAACTAGAGGCCTGGTGCATGAATTTCATGGGGGGGAGGGGGGAGTGACGGGAATGTGTGTGTCCCTAAGTCCTGCCTGCACCTTCTCCATCTGAGATCCCTCTCACAATCTAGGACTGCTGGCTCCCAACAGCTCACCTCCCTGCCAGCCTGGTTGCCCCTAATTGTCTTCCCCTACAGGCCTGTTCACCCTAACTGCCCTCACCTGCCAGCCTAGTCACCCCTAACTGATCTTCCCTGCTGGTGTGATCCCTACCAACTGCCCTCCCTTGCTGGCCTGATGGCCCACAACTGCCCTCCCCTGCTGGCCATCTTGTAGCAGCCATCTGTGTCCACATGGGGGTGGCCATCATGTGTGTTGGAGTGGTGATTAATTTGCATACTACCTCTTTATTATATAGGATGATATCTACAAGTTTTCAGTTTTCAATTTTAGCCCCATGATTTCTCTACCAAGTAATTAGGGAAAGTAGGTGTCTGCTTAAGATGTCACTTTATCAATGTTATAACTTTTCTCTAAGATTTTAAATTGTTAATTATTTCCTTCCAGTGTTAGTCTTGCCCAACACTAGTTTAGATGGATTTCATGGCTCTCCTCCTCTTGACCACTCTTAGGACCTGTTTCTCCGCAGCTTGTCGTGGCTTCTCTCTTGCTCTTCACTCTTTTCTTCTAGATTATAAATTTAAACCTAGCTTGTTAAATTATAGAGACAGAAGTAATCTGAAAACCATCCATGCTCACCCTTTGATTTCTGACAAATAATTGTGTAATATCTATGAAGCATCCTATGATATGCCAGGCATGAACATGAATTTTGAAGTCAGATGAACTTGGCTTCCAATCACTGCTCAGCCACATGAGGGTTAGGAACTTTTGATAAATTGCTGACCTTCCCTCATCTCAGATTAATCATCTATAAGACAGTAATAATAATTAATGTATAGAATCTTTATAAGAATATAATAGTCTTCCCCTGACCAGTTTGGCTCAGTGGCTAGAGCGTCGGCCTGTGGACTGAAATGTCCCAAGTTTGATTCTGGTCAAGGGCATGTACCTGGGTTGCAGGCACATACCCAGTAGGATGTGTGCAGGAGGCAGCTGATCGATGTTTCTCTCTCATCAATGTTTCTAACTCTCTATTTCTCTACCTTCCTCTCTGTAGATAATCAATAAAATATATTTTAAAAATAATAATAATAGTCTTAAACAGTCATAGAAGGTATCTTTTCCTAAATTTGTTCTGTGTCCAGCAACCTAATAGTTAAATCTCTTAAATTAAATAATTTAATGCTCATAACTACCCTACAACTTTCTATCATTATCCTCTCTTGCTAGAAGTGAGAATGGTATTATAAAAACAATACAATATTGCCTTTAAATATAAATAACATATGGAGAAATTGTCCAGCACAGTGTCTCATACATAGAAGACATTCATTATAAAGTTACTGGTTTTTTGTTTATTTCTATTGTTATTGATGTCCTTGACCTGTCCAAGAGCAAGAGTTCTGACATTCTACTATAACAGTTCCCACTGTCATCTATTTCTGTGGCTCTTTACCTATTATTGTTTTCCAGTTTCTCAATCATTAGTTAAAAAATTAATCCTTTCATTCTCATCAGTGAACAAACCAATCTATGTCAGTGTATATTTTGGTTCTTCAGTGCCTTTTGTTTTCTGTATAAACATTCATTTTCATATCTAGATTAGTTACTATTAGATGCTTAAGATTGACAGACTCTAAATATCTAAGCCATTATTATAATAGCCTTTGTTACATAGAAATAAACCTACCCTGTCAGAAGTACCCTCAACATGACAGAGAGATAGATGTGACATGAGATAGGTTGCATTGTCCAGAATCACTCAGCCTGTGAAGAAGTGTTGGGCCTATCATCCAATTTCAATCAACAGGTGATAGGCCCACAGTGCAACCTAAATGTTAAATCTCTTAAATTAAATCATTTAATGCTCATAGCTACCTGTTACAGTAGAATGTTATAGGTAATGTATCAGAATGTTGAAATTATATTTTTAAATGAACATTGCTAAACCCACTTAACCAGATATTTTAATTTCAAATATTAGTTTATCATTAACCAAAAAGAATTTTCAAAAAGTCATTACAGCAAATTTTTATTTTATTGTGATTAGAAGATTAATCAATTTTTCCTGATAAAATCAATGATATCACATTCTCAAGTCATCACTGAATTTACCTATGTCTGTGTCTCCTTCTGACAACAGTGGCTTGCAAATTGTAAGGCGACATTTGCTGGAGGATCAAGAGATGGAGTAATTACCTGTCAACCAGGGGATTCAGAAGAAAAGGTAACAAAAGCCTTTTAGATTTTCTCTTTTCTGTACTCTGACGTTGTGTGTTGGTTTTGACCCTTCCAAGAATCATGGAACTTGAGGAAGAGATGGAATGAATCATCCATACATTCACATGAAGCCAATAAAGTAAAACAGAATGGCATTCAGGCCAAGCATGAATGTGTACTCTTGGGATTGGTGGGAGGGGGGTGGAGGGAGAGATATTTTTGGAAAAATAAAAATAACCTTTCTTCTGGACATTTTCTAACTATACTAATCATTTCCTAATAAGTATGTTCTTTATTAAAAATGTGAAACCAATTTCATTAATTTGTCACTAAACCCCCTGATTCCTTCAGTGAAGAGTCTTTATTAACATTTCAGTATTCTATTTTTTAATTTTCTTAAATTTTCAATTACATACAATAATATATTACTTTTAGGTACACAACATGGTGATTAGACAACTCTGAAATGATTCCCCCCAGTAGACCTAGTATCCACCTGACACCATACATTGATATTATAATATTATCAACCATATTCCCTATGCTGTACTTTATATCCCCATGACAGTAAATGCCAATTTCTACTTCTTACTCCTCTCACCTTTTTCACCCAGCCTCCAATGTTCTGCCCATCTGGCAACCATCAATTTGTTCTCTGCATCAATTTAATGTTTCATTTTTTAAGATTCCACACATAGGTGAAACCATATGGTATTTGTCTCTCTCTGTCTGACTTATTTCACTTAGTATTTCAACCCTTTTAGTCTAGCCATGTCACAAATGTCAAGATTTCATTTTTAATAGCTAAGTAATATTCCATTGTATATATTTTCCACAACTTCTTTATTCAATTGTCTATTGATAAATAGGTTATTTCCATATCTTGACTATTATAAATATGCTGCAAAGGACATAGTGATACATATGTCTTTTCAAATTAATGTTTTGGATTTCTTCAAACATCCAGAAGTAGGATTGCTAAGTCATATGGTAGTTCTAATTTTAATATTTTGAGGAACCTCCATACTGTTTTCTGTAGTACTTGCACCAATTTACAATCCCACCAACAATGCATGAGGATTACTTTTCCCCCCACATCCTTGTCAATATTTGTTGTTGATTTATTGATGATAGCCATTCTGACAGTTGTAAGGTGATATCTCACTTTGGTTTTAATTTGCATTTCACATGTCTGTTGGCTATCTAAATGTCTTCTTTGGAGAAATGTCTATTCAGTTCCTCTGCCCATTTTTTAATTTGATTGTTCTTTCGGTGTTAAGTTGTATGAATTCCTTATATATCTTAGATATTAACCCATGTCAGATGTGTCATTGATGAATATCTTTATCCATCCCGTTTGTTGATGGTTTCCTTCACTGTGCAAAATCTATTTTTATATCATCCCATTCTTTTTGTTTCATTGCCTCAGAAGACATATCAAAAAATATTATAAGAGCAATGTCAAAAAATTTACTGTCTTTTTTTCTCTCATAGTTTTCGGGTTTAGGGTCTTACATACAAGTCTTTAATCCACTTTGAGTTTATTCTTAGATATGGTATGAGAAGATGGTCTACTTTCATTCTCTTACATGTGTCTCTCAGTTTTCCCAACATCATTTAGTGAACAGACTGTCTTTACCCCACTGCACATTCATGCCTCCTTTAACAAGGTTTAACCATCTAGGCCTGGATTTATTTCAATTCTGTTCTATTGATCATGTGTTTGTTTTTATGCCAATACCGTGCTATTTTTATTACTATAGCCTTGTGGTATAGTTTAATATCAAGTAGCATGATACCTCTAACTTTGTTTTTCTTGGGATTGCTTTAGCTATTTAGGGTCTTTTGTGGTTCCATATATAAGTTTTAGGATTCTTTGTTTTAATTCTGTGAAAAATTCCATTGATATTTTGATAGGGATTGCATTGAGTATATAAAGTGCTCTGGTAGTATGGACATTTTAATTATGTTAATTCTTTTTATCCGTGAACACACTATATGTTTCCATTTATTTGTATATTTTTCAATTTATTTCTTCAATGTCTTATAATTTTCTGAGGACAGGTATTTCACCACCTTGGTTAAATTTATTCATAGGTATATGATACAGTTGTAAGTGATGTTGTTTTCTTAATTTTCCTTTCTGATTATTGGCATATAACAATTTCTGAATATTGTGTTTCCTGCTACATTACTAAATTAACTTATTAATTATAATAGATTTTTGGTAGAATCTTTAGGGATCTCTATACATTGTATCATGACATCTGCAAATGATAGTTTTACTTCTTACTTTCCAATTTGGAAGTATTTTATTTCTTTTTCTAGTCTGATTGCTTTCACTAGAACTTTATACTATCCTATATAATAAAGAGGTAATATGTGAATTGAACATCATGTCCTCCCACAAGATGTCTGACCCCATGTGATCATAAGATGGCTGCCACAAGACAGCCGGCAGGGGAGGGCAGTTGTGGGTGATCAGGCCAGTAGGGAAGGGCAGTTGGGGATGACCAGGCCTGCAGGGAAGGGAGGGCCATTTGGAGGGATCAGGCCATTTGGAGGGATCAGGCCATTTTATTATGTTGACTATTCCAATCCATGAACATGGGATATTTTTCCATTTTGTTGTGTATTACTTTATTTTAATAGTGCTTTGAAATTTTCAGTATTAGATCTTTCATGTTCTTTGCTAAGTTTACTCCTAGGTATTTTATTATTTTGGTTGCAATTAATTGTATTTTTTTATTTCTTTTTCTAAAGTTGTGTTGTTATATAGAAAGGCAATGGATTTTTGTGCATTGATTTTTTTATCCTGCAATTTGACTGTATTTATTTTTCAAATAGTTTATTTTTGGTGGAGTCTTTAGGGTTTTCTATATACAGAATCATGTCATCCACAAAAAGTGGCAGTTTGACTTCTTCCTTCCCATTTGGATGCCTTTCATTTCTTTCTCTGCCTTATTGCTCTGGCGAGGACTCCCAGCACTGTGTTGAATAAGAGTGGTGAGAGTGGACCTCCTGGTCTTGTTCCTGATCTTAGAGGAAAAACTTCCAGTTTTCCACCATTGAGTATGATATTAGCTGTGGGTTTATCAAATATGGCTTTTATTATGTTGTGGTGCTTCCTTCTATTTCTATTTTATGGAGTGTTTTAATCATAAATGAATGTTGTATTTTATCAAATGCTTTTTTTCTGTATCTATTGATAAGACCATATGTTTTTTGTCCTTTCTTTTGTTAATGTGGTGTATTATGTTGATTGATTTGCATATGTTGAACCATTCTTTTGTCCCTGGAATGAACCCCATTTGTTTGTGATGTATTATTTTGGGATGTACTGTTGTATTCAATTTGCTAGTATTTTATTAAGGATATCTGCATCTGTATTCATCAGAGATATTGGTGTGTCATTTTTCTTTCTTTGTGTTTCTTTGCCAGGTTTTGGTATCAGGGTTATATTGTCCTCATAAAATGTATTAGGAAATATTACCTCTTCTTCAACTTTTTGGAAAAGTTTGAGAAGGATAGGTTTTAACTTCTTTTCATGTTTGATAGAATTCACTGGTGAAGCCATCTGATCCTAGACTTTTATTTTGGGGGAGGTTTTTGATGGTTGTTTCAATTTCCTTACTGCTAATCAGTTTGTTTATTTGTTTGTTTGTTTGTTTAATCCTCACCCAAAGATATTTTTTCCATTGATTTTGAGAGAGAGTGGGAGAGAGAGAGAAAAACAGAGAGAAATATTAATGTGAGAGAAACACCTCAATTGGTTGCCTTTTGCACAAGTCCAGACAGGGCCCAAGCAGGGGAAGAGCCTGCAACCAAGGTATGTGCCCTTGACTGGAATCAGACCTGGGACCCTCCGGACCGCAGATCAATGCTCTATCCACTGAGCCAAACCAGCTAGGGAGTTATCAGTCTATTTAGATATTCTGATTCTTCACGATTTAGTCTAGGAAGGTTATATATTTCTAGGAGCTTATCCATTTTTTCTAGGTTATTGAATTTGGTGACATATAGTCTTTCATAATATTCTAGTATGATCCTTTGTGATGTCTGTGTTGACTTCTCTCTCATTTTTTATTTTGTTTACATGGGTCTTTTCCTTTTTTCCTTAGTGAGTCTAGCCAGGGGGTTGTCAATTTTATTAATCTTTCAAAGAACCAGTTCTTTGTTTTAATTTTTTGTGTTGGTTTTTTGTTCTCTATTTCATTCAATTCTGCTCCAATTTTTTATTATTTCTTTTGATAATTACGGGTTGCTTTTGTTCTTCTTTTTCTAGTACTTTAAAATGTGATGTTAGGTTGTTTACTTGAATTTCTCTTGCTTCTTGAGATAAACTTGTAATGATATAAACTTCACTCTTATTACTGCTTTCCCTGATTCCTACAGTTTTTGATATTCTCATTTGCCTCTGTATATCTTTTGATCTCATCTTTTGTTTCTTCTTTGACCCAATCATTTTTTAGTAGTATGTTGTTTAATCTCCGCATATTTGTGGGTTTCTCTATTTCCTTTAGGCAGTTCATTTCCAATTTTAAGGCATGTAGTTGGAGAATATGCTTGATATAATTTCAATGTTCTTGAATTTGTTGATACTAGTTTGTGAACCAACATACGGTTTATCTTTGAAAAATATCCCATGTGCCCTGGAGAAGAATGTATGATCTGATGTTCTGGGATGAAATGTTCTGTAAATGTTAATTATATCCATTTGGTCTAGTGTTTCATTTTGGCCCAGTATTTCTTTGTTGATTTTCTATTCGGTTGATCTGTTTAGAGCGGTTAATGGAGTATTAAGGTCTCCCACTATGATTTTGTTTTTATCTGTTTCTCCCTTTAATTCTGTGAGTAGCTGTTTTATATATGTTCCTTTTATCATTATAAAGCATCCATCTTTGTCTCTTGTTACCTATATTGTTTGGAGATGTTATTTGTTTTGAGTATCATTTTGCAACCTTTAACTGAATCTATCTTTGTCTTTGTAGCTTAGATATGTCTCTT